GCCAACAACATGGTGCTAACACAATGCCAACATCACATGGTGCTAACACAGTGCCAACATCACATGGTGATAGCACAATGCCAACATCACATGGTGCTAACACAGTGCCAACATCACATGGTGATAACACAATGCCAACATCACATGGTGCTAACACAGTGCCAACATCACATGGTGATAGCACAATGCCAACATCCTTGTAAGTTGCTTTAATACTTGAAAGTGTGATTATGGTTTTCTTTTGCAGTCTATGCATGATGAAGATGATGAAGACGAGGAAGATGACGATGAAGATGAAGAAGATGATGAAGAAGACGACAGTGAGGAAGAGTCAGAGAAGAGGTGATGTTACAGCAGTAGTGATGTTTATTGTTGGAGAGGATGAAAGAGAAAGGAAGATTTTCACCACTCGTATTATCAGTGGTAGTCTTATTTCTTTGTTTGAATCACTTGTATTTTCTCCCCAGATAGAATTTTGTTTTTTTAAGAGATACATTTTTTAATATGTAATCAAAAATTTTTTTTAAAAAATTCAATTTGAAGAATGCCCAATGCACTATATATAATTTTTTTAAACAGAGGGTATTCTAAATATTGTTACCAGGAAAAGAAATTATCTAGTTGTATGATTATTCCTCATTTATTGCATGATCACATAATATTTTAGATGTTTTTTTTTATTATTTCTTGATAATGTCTCCCAAGGCTATATGATGATATGTATCTGAAACTGTCCTTTTTTACATACCAGAGTATTGAAAACACAACTGTGGTGTATGGTCATGCTTTGTGTTTTATCAATTTAATTTTGCATTTTCTTAAATAATTTGGAATACCCTTAAGTGAATCAGTTTGGCTTCATGTTGTTAGAGTTTCTTAGTGTTCATGGTGTGATTTAGTGGTTCACTTATAATAAATAATAAAACACTTCTTTAAAACTGCGCTACACATGCGTCTCAGCGCTGTTTACATTAAAAATAGTAACTTAGAAAGTTTAATGTCTGTATATACCCAAGTTAATTGTAGTTATTTTGCTGCATACTACTGTTGTGATGTGATTTAGTGGTTCACTTATAATAAATAATAAATTAAAAAGTTTAATGTCTGTATGTACCCAAGTTAATTGTAGTTATTTTGCTGCATACTACTGTTTATCAGATGTGTTAAATGTACAGGTACAGGTAGTAAATTTACACAAAAAAAAACTTTGTATTGTGTGAGAAAGTGTTCATACCAACTGACAGGAAAATAGTCTGTTTTCTGAGACTAGGTTATCATGCATTGAGCCTAAGCTCAAAAATGTGACCAATATATGCCTTTACCTCCAATGGAAATACTAGTATAAATGTGTATCTTGTTTTTGTTATTTAAACATGCTTTTCTCTTTTTGAAATTTATATTCCATTCATTAATCTTATGAGTGATCCTTACCAAATGTTAACTAAAGTTTATTACTTAATTACTGTTCAGTCACAATATAAGCGGTAGGATCTACATGTTTATTTATTCATTTTAGTGCACTAAGTACCATGAATACATACAAGCTGTAGGATCTACATGTTCATCTTCCTGTAACATGCTCACATAGTGTACTGAGTCACCGTGATATCTACATATCATTTTTACTGAAAAATATTTAAAGACAATTTATACCGTCCTGAAAATTGATATCTTATTTTTTTAAATCCCAATTATAGAATAAATATGACTGCAATTTGAGCATTTGAAATGTTCTTGTCACTGCTTTCCAGAACATCACAAATTAGTTATAGTACCAAGGACTTTGTGTGATACAATGTTCTTGCTTTCTGCTTCTATCAAAGTGAAGTCAGTGCAACAGGTTTTGTTTGAGATTAAAAAATTAAAGTTTTAAATTGATACGTTCTGCAGTGTCTAAGTTATAAACCTCAAAAATATCCAATCATAATATCAATTTATAAATTTGTATTATATGATTAAAATACAGATTAAGTGAATATTGCCAAACCCATCTGTACATTTCATTCAGAATTGTGTGAGAAAAATCATGATGTGTTATGGATTTCCTGCTACAAAATTGTGATATTGTTTGGTTTACATAAATTGCCTAGACAGTGAATTTGGTGTAGGGAATTGGTTTTACATGAAGAGATACAAAGACATTTGTTGTGAATAACAATTGTCTAAGTTCAGCATTTTTATTTTGATGCAGTCCTCAGAATTCTGTTTCCGCCTCAGCAGCCTCCTTCAAGTGACTACTGTGACTGAAGGATTCAATAAATGCAAAGTTATCTATCCCCTTGTCTGCTGCTTGACCACATATTGATGGTGACCAACTCTTCTCATGGTGGACGTCCACTCTGCAGGTGATGGTATTCTTAGTAGTAGTGTCTTCTCCACAGTCAGGAATGTTGGGCAGGTATGTGATGTTGGTGTCAGAGCTGGACTTGGGGTTAGACCATGTAGTACGAACACTCTTTACAGGAGCTGTGTTTGGGCGCTTGGGTAACGTCTTTGTTGCTACAATGGAATGACAAATATGAGGATGACATTCCAACATATTATGGAATTGATATATAGTGTTGATAAACCAGCAAATTTCTAAGAAACACCAAATGTGTAGGTGATTGTCTAAATATCTCATTCATCTCAAGTAATGTATGAAAATATGTATGAAGGACTTTTAAACTGAATCTGACAAAATATATATTAGTTTAAATTTGTGATTCACATCTTAAACTGACAATTTCGAGGGAGTGACAGTGCATATTAAAAAGTTAAAAAAAACACCAAGTTTTTAGCATGTAAAGGTGACACATACTTTCCACAGAAGTATTTTGTTCTGCAGTATCTAACTGGTCACTGAGGGCTGTCAGGTCAGTGACTGTTAGTGTGAGGTTGTCATGGTGACGGTCCTGTGTCATCTCCTGAGTGCCTGGGAGACCTGCAAAAACACAGTGCTTTAGTTAAAACACAGTGCTTTCATGCTAATGTTAAAACAGGATTGTTTGGTAAAAACAATACTTCAGTTTAAATAGTGTGTATATTTTATAATAAGCAAAATTTAAATATTTTGACCTTGACCTTTGACCTACTAAATAATCCTAAATAATCAGCCGGGGCCATCTGCACAAAGTGCTGATCTCCTACTATAATATCTGTTGGACAGCCATGCTTTTTATGCTGAAGTTCAGTGTGACCTAGACATTTGACATTAAAGAGAACTTACCTGAGTCAGTATTATCACTGCAACACTTTGCTATATGTCTGTATAGATAAAGAGAACTTACCTGAGTCAGTACTATCACTGGAACTGTCTGCTTTTGTCAGTCCAGATTCTTGCCTGCTTTCCTGTTTCAAAAGTGGCTTGACATCTGATCCCGGTGATGCAAATGGAGTTGAAAGCTCATCCTCTTCTTTTAAAGAATTCTCTGAATTCTCAGATTGAACAGTGCTCTTTATCTTCAAGGTGATTTCCCCATTTTCTCCATGAGCCATTGTTTTGATTGTCTGAAGGATAAATGTTAAATTATATCATCACATACAGATGTTCTTTCTAAGAAAACAGACTATTGGGAAACTTGACATCCTTCTCATGGCTGATTGTTCAATGAATTATTGACATTTAAATGGAAGACAATTTGCAGCATTTTTTCAGAAAGATACTGTACTAACTGGTATCTAGAATGGTACTGGAAGAGTTTTAGCTAATTTGATATCCTCATTTCATTACAATTACAACACCTTATTTTTTACTTTACTCCTTGTTACAATTGTTGCAACAATTAATAAACCTTCAGGGTTTGAGGTGGACGTAATTCTAAGCCTTTTTGTCCATTCTTCTCTGTGTCCTTTCCCCCAGAAGTTTTCCCCTTGCCTTTGCCCTTAGAACTAGGTTTGGTCAGCATTTGGGCCACTTTGGAATCTGGCTGAACAACCTACAATAGTCAAAGGTAATGAAATCACTTAAATTGTCCAAGTGTACTTGTTACATACTTACATATGGCATTCACACATACAGTACCTATATATCATTGTTACTTGTCGTGTATATACCTATGGTGTTCGCACATACAGTGCCTGTATCTCATTGTTTCTTGTCGCGTATATACATATATATATATATATATATATATATATATATATATATATATATATATATATATATATATATATATATATATCAGTTTCTTATCATGTATATACATCACAAACCATCAGTAGATGAAGGAAGTGGAAGAGGCCTCGGTTCACTTATTGTGTTCAGATTACTTCTCATTAATAGTAATAATAATAATAATAATAATATTAATAATAATAATAAATTTATTCCAAGTCCAAAATCCATTCTAAATGTTCAGTAGACTTGACAGAAAAATAAGTACTTTAGAACACAATTACCAAGATATAAAAAAAGTATTTAAAAAGATTAGGAATCTAGAAAAAAAAAAGCCAAATTCTCAATTAAAGCCAACTACAATTACACAACTACATCGTTCAAGTAAGTTAATAGGTGACACTAAATAAAAATAAAGTGAAAAACATCATAGAATAAAACTAAGAATTTAAATAAGCCCCTGGCTTGTATTGGTAGTGCTTTTAAAACTGCAGTGCTTTTTAAACTGGTATGATATACGAGTTCATAATCTGGTGGAAATGATTTAAATGTGTTGACAGTAGTATATAAACTGGTATGATATATGAGTTCATAATCTGGTGGAAATGATTTAAATGTGTTGACAGTAGTATATAAACTGGTATGATATATGATTGCACATAGAGGTATGAGTTCATAATCTGGTGGAAATAATTTAAATATGTTGCCAGTAGTATATAAACTGGTATGATATATGAGTTCATAATCTGGTGGAAATAATTTAAATATGTTGACAGTAGTTTATAAACTGGTATGATATATGATTGCACATAGAGGTATGAGTTCATAATCTGGTGGAAATAATTTAAATATGTTGACAGTAGTGATTTTTTTCTGTTTCTTGGGGCAGTGAGTTGAAATAATCCAATTTTGAATTTACCAAGGAATGTATGACTGTAGCTGTGGTAGAGTCTGAAGGGTGAATATGAATTATGCATATGATCCCAATGTTATAAACTGCAGACTGGCATGTAGTAAAAAAAAGGGACTGTGTCTGACCAGTTTCAGCTGCTGTGTGCTGACCCACCACTCACCTGAATGACTGTCTTAAGAAGTCGAGGTGTGCCTTCCCTTTCCTTAATGATTTCTGTGGCCTCTGTTTCCCCCTGGTCATTCTGGAGTTTAGCATTCTGATGAAGCAATTTCCTATACAAAAATAATACAAGATTATCATGACAGCTGGGGACTGTACTTTAATGACTATACAACAAAGACAACATTTTTTGCTATTTTACCTTAATCACTTATTGACATGGAATTAAAGTTTAATATCCCATTTTTTTTAAATGCTGCTTTGTTGTATTACACTGCTTTTTTCTTTAATATCTTCTGAGCCTTGGGGTAGTCACTCATTGCTGCATTGAAGTCTTCCTTGGAGAGGATGAACAAGTTGGAGAAACCCTTGGAGCGAACATCAGCTGTCCTGCGATTACCACCAGCAAGGGCCAGAAGACTGAAGGACAAGAAAAAGGATCATCTTAGGGAGTAATGCACTGGATTCCACAATCATTATATTAGAGTTCTGTACAGTCTCAATATATTAGCATATTTCATTTGGCATATTTTTACAGTATAGCTTCATGTACATAAGTGTGAAATAGTCATGAGGAGATCAGTGCCAGATTTAGAGGGGGGTCAGGGGGCTTCTGACCCCCCTTCGGTTTCTGAACACCAATATTCCCCATTTGAAATTAGAATTTTGACTAGCTAAATTATAGTTCTACCATACCAAAGGGCACTGTTTGCTTTCCAAAACACAAAATATTTTTCAGGGCCCTTGAGCAGGCCTTGAACCCCACACCAACGGGGCAATTGTCAGGTTCGCATCCAAGGCCTGTCATTCTGGACCCCCCCCCCCTTCAAATAATCCTGGATCCCCCCTGGAGATGCATTTGCTTTCTTATGCTTTTCTGAGAACTGAAGGTGAAACAGTTTTCATTATAGAAGGGGACGATAGGGATGCTATCAGGTAGGGGAAATGAACCTACTAAATAATCTTTCTTGTTCTAAGCACTTACAACACTCAGTGAACTGAGATGTCACTCATGGGTCCATTAAGACTCCATTCACATGAAAAGTCTATTTTCTAAAAATCTATTTCCTATTCGCGGTATCTTATGATCACTCCTAGCACAGCGGAGAATTAATTACAGCTTTGGAAGTAACTGGCTCGCGCTGCCAATTATTACGCCACGGGGTATTCAGGGCACAGACCATGATTACAAGATACCGCGAATAGAAAATAATTTTTTAGAAAATAGACTTTTCATGTGAATGGAGTCTAACACCCAGCCACTAACAGTCATTGCAACTGTCCTCAGCTTTTGTCAACCAAACCTTGGTCAACATTTACACACACAAAGTTCAAGTAAAGTTTTAAATTAATGCTGAACTTTTCATGACTCTAATTTTATCATTAAAAAAACCCTAATTTTAAGGCAAAAAAATGCCATGCTACATGCCTACTGATATAGGAGCCGGTCTCTGGCAGTTTTGACAACTGCCGTGTTTCTGATTTTATGATACTATAACAACTAATGCATAAAAAATCTGTACAAAATTTCAATTCAAAAGCTAGTGAACTTACGAACTGTCAGATTTAATCAACTTTGAAATTAATATTTTTTTCTTTTTGAGCCAACTGATACATTCCTGGATTCATCAATTTCATGAGCATTCTTACAATTAATTATAAAATCATCATTACAACTGATATGTATAATTATGTATTATAGACCTGTAATTCAGATGCTGTTGTGGCTTCATATTTCACAATAAATAATTCATATCTGTTCTCATTTATCTAGAGAAGGATATATAATACATATTACAAACCTGATTTCTCCAAAGACACTTCCCTCGCTGAGTGTGGCCAGTACCAAGCCATCAGCACTGACCACTTCCACCTGCCCTTGCTTCAGGATGTACATCTCTGTGCCTACTTCTCCCTTCTTACAGATATAATCCCCAGGTAGATACAGCACTGGAGTTAACTTTAACACCAGGTCAAATAACAGCTGCTTCTCACAGTCCTAGGACACACAGGAGTAGAACACGAGTAAAACACAGCAGTGGTGTAGTCAGGAGCTAGAACTGACAGTCCTAGGACACACAGGAGTAGAACATGAGTAGAACACAGCAGTGGTGTAGTCAGGAGCTAGAACTGACAGTCCTAGGACACACA